TCTGCTTTTCTGAAGTCCAGGGTCCATATTCTGCTGTTCTCCTTTCTTCCTTGTGTCAGAATCCTGAACTCGACCATCTCATGGTCACTGCCTCCCAGGTTCCCATCCACTTTTGCTTCCCCTACTAATTCTTCCCTGTTTGTGAGCAGCAGGTCAAGAAGAGCTCTGCCCTTAGTTGGTTCCTCCAGCACTTGCACCAGGAAATTGTCTCCTACACTTTCCAAAAACTTCCTGGATTGTCTGTGCACTGCTATATAGTGGCATTATGGTATTTTCTGTCTTATTATCTATCACTTTCCTAACGCTTCCTAACATTGTTAACTTTTTTGACTGTCACTGCACATTGAGCAGATGTTTTCAGAGAACTATCAATTATCCAAGATCTCTTTCTTGAGTGGTAACAGCTAATTCAGAGCCCATAATTTTGTATATATAGTTGGGATTATATTTTCCAATGTGCATAGCTCTGCATTTATCAACACTGAATTTCATCTGCCATTTTGCTGCTCAGTCATTCAGTTTTGTAAGATCCCTTTGTAACTCCTCACAATCTGCTTTGGACTTAACTATCTTGAGTAGTGCTGGAAGAAACCTGCATTAAGTAATATTAATACTTAGCATTGCATCCCTTGGATTTCAAAGCATCATTATCCCCATGTTACAGCTGGAGAAGTTAAGTGACTTGCCCAAGGTCACACAGGAAATCAATGCTAAAGCCCAGTTTTCTGATTCCCAGACTGATGCCCTCTATATTGGAGCACGCTACCTCCTCAGTGTTGGTCTTGGGTGCCGACTGGCCCAGTGGAGAGCCATTCTCTTATGGACCACCAGGGCTAGAAGACCCTGCTGTACACTCCAGGGAAGCTGGCATGACCAGCTTTCCATTGGCAAACAGCATTAATTTCCATCACTGTGGTTTAAGACATCCCATAATTTTAACTGGATACTGGTCCCTCAAACTAGGAAAAATACAAGCCAACGTGCTTTCAGGATCCCAAGCATCCTAAGCCAGTTCATCCCATGTGCAATATTCCTTGTGTTTCTGATACTAGTTTTGGTTCTGAAATGAAGGGGCATGCCCCTTTCTTGTTATCTCTAATTCCTGTACCCTTCTCACCTTGTTTTTCCTCTGTATTTATAACCTCATCTGCAGACACCTAGCAAGCAATAATATATACTGCTGCTGTGAGAGACAGGCTAGGAATAGCTGATGGGAATTCCCCGCTGCTAGACCTGACAAGCTGCCATCCATTCAACAGGTTGGAGAGGGGCTTCATGCACAGGAGAGAGGAAGTGTGCATGAGAGTGCTTGGTTTTCTATGCGCCAACCTGGTGCTGGTGGTCAATTTCCTTCCACATCATCATATGGCTAAGATCTACCTCCACTACTCACCCACAAAAAAAAGCACGCAGCTGCCTGCCTGATTCCAAACATTACTGACAACACTATGAAAAGAGCTGCACTTACATTCCAGAAGGTCAACACAAGTGACCTTCCAAAGGTCAGCCTAAACCTGCATAATCTTTCCAGCTCACTGCACACCCCCACCACAGTCTCACACACACACACACGCCCACACTGCAGTGTCTGCAGCCACGCGCTCCCCTTCTCTCACTAGCTCAGACTGAGGAAAATGCACTTTGATTTTAAATAATGATTACTCTATAAGACTCACTATCTAAAATAGCTGTCTTCCCAAAAGGTTAAGGGAAGGAGTAGATGCAATTTATATTGAGATATATAATGCACTCCTGTCGGTTTCTGATCAGAATCAACAGGAAGTAAATGGGTGTCGACTGAGCTATTTTAATCTCCCCAGAAGTGCACACAAGATTTTTCATTCCTCTCCCTGTGCTTATTTTATTTCTAGCCTTTTAAGACTAGTGCCTAGCCCCTTGTCAATCCTACAACCATAGCAGCTTAGCTGCTCCACTCTCTTCTCGACTGTCAGCTGCGAGCAGCCTCTGGGGAAAGTAAATAGGATCAGCAGTCTCCTCTATTCAAACTACTGAGTCATTCTGTTCTGCCTTGGAAGTGTTGCAGTACTTCAAGTAGTTGGAAAGGCCTGATTCTGATCTCTCTCTACATCAGTTTAATTCTTTTTCTCCACTGGGGTTACTCCTGATTTATATCCACAAAGCATAAGTGGTGACAGGAACAGACACTATGAATCAGTAATCACTGTTATACCGCACTGTAATCAAAGCCCGTCCGAGCCCAGAACAAACCATTGTGACTGTCTAGTTGGACCTCCTGTATAACAGAGGCCATAGAACTTCCCAAAATTTCCTAGGAATAATTCAAGAAAGAAAAGTCCAAACTGAACCAGCTGCAGTAAAGGATGATCAGAAGAATGGCCAGCTAAACTTATGAGAAAATTTTGCCCATGGAGAGTTGAGTGGTAAAGCTGGGATTCTAACTCAAATCTGCCATTCCCTTGTCTTACACATCCTTCCCTTCTCCCTGGTAGACCACCCCTCTTCCCTTAGGGGCCATCTGGCTAAGAGCTGAATGTGACTGGTAGAGCTATAGGGGAGCAAAAAGTCCACTCACAGTTGTGAAGTTTCTCCGAGTTCTGCTGCAGCCCAAGGTTGCTGTGCTGATCCAAGGCCCCAAAGTTCTGAATCAACTGTTATTCAGAAATGATAATGTATAGTACCACTTGTTCTTGGCAGGCTTGGTATTTGAAAATCATCTTGCCATGACTAGCCTAGGCTGGGTTGGTATGCCTACTGTCCCTGGTGTCAAAAGACTTAAAAGAGTTGGAGGTCTGGTGTTGTAATTCATACGAATAGTCTGGGCTTACTGGAATATATAAGCACCTAGGCATTACTAAAGCAAAAAGTAAACAAAGCTAAGCCCCGAACCCTCTCATTCCTTTCCATGACCAAAATCCAGTCCAGCCAATTCAATTCACAGTTATTCCCAGGCTGAGCGTTTATACACTGTCTATGACCAACACTGGATGGAAACTAAGAGCTAGATTATGGCCCATGTTGTCTGGCTATGTAGGGCCTCTGAGCTGCTTCCCTGGACCTTGGGTCCAGAAGGCTGTAGTCAAGGGGGCACTATTGCCCAGATCCTCCCAATGGGAGATAGGCCCAGATCCTCACAGGTGTTTAGGAGCCTATGTTCCTGCTATTTCTTGCCCTGAGCAAGTGGATGGGGAGTGGCTGAAGAAGGGTAGAGAATGGGCAGAACCTTGTTTAATCTCATCCTCTCTCCCCCACAGCTCAGAAGTAGTAAGCAGTTACCTGAGGACAAAGGCCATAGCAGGGAAGGAATTGTGACTCTCTGGGGCGTTGTTACATCCTAGAGATTTTCCAGGTGTGTTGGGGCAGCTATATACCACCCCTCCCACAGGGCACATTGGAAAAGACCAATTGAGTCCTAAATAACTACACAGAATTGGCCTATGATTAGAGGGACTGATAACATTAAAAAGGCTGAATATGTACCATATGGCTTGGCTCCATTTGCAGCTAGGGGGAGGACATGCTAACACAACACTGAAAGGCTGTAAACACCAAGCATGCAAAGGAATTACTGAGAGCGATATAAAGAGATTACAGTATTGCCAACCTCAAATATTCAAAAATCATGAGTCAGGCCCCTAAAAACATCAGACTGGTTTAAAAATCATGAGATTTTAAATAATAATACATTTGGGGTTCTCTTTATTTGCCATCTGCTTTTTGAGCCTTTAGGCTGCACTTGGGTCATACCTTCAGGCTTTTCTCCACAACCAGAAACTTATTTTTTTTTTTAAATGAAAGCTCAGATGCTCACCTACTCACAGGAATCCAGCACAGGGGCTTTAAGAACAAAACCTGAATATCAAGACTCATAATAAAATCACAAGGGGTTACAATTGCCACTTGAAGCAATGGGATATAAAGGAAAACTCAGGCTGACCTGGATGAAACATTTCCTTACAGTGCAGTCTATCAGGCTGTGATCTCTTAGGTTCTACTGGGAAGTTGGAGAAACCTCATGGCGGGCAAAGAACTAGAGAATATGCTGGAGGGAACAATCCTTCTCTAGCAGGAAGATGGATGAGATGCGACCTCTCTGGTCTTTTCCATCTCTAATTTCTATTGCTCTATGAAATATTCATAAAAGAAGTGCTGACATGCTGTACCCTTAATGCTGCAGTCTGCTAATGCCATCCAGCATCTCTGCTGCACTTGAAATCAGATTCTCAGCTAATAAACTCACCAATGAATCAATCAAATCCTGTTACAAGGTTAATCTATGGATTGTTATTAGGGCAGCAGGTTTGTCGCAGTACGTTATGAAAAGTCATGGCATAGTCATAAAAGAGAGCAGGGGAAATTTATGAAGTTTATATATTTTTAAAAAATCAAAAGGCACAGGTCACATTATTTTAATCAAAATGTCTATTTCCTTTGCAAATCTCACTTGATAAAATTAAATTAATAACCAAAAACCACTGACAGCTGTTCTCCCAATGCAGGCAGATTCAGCAAGGCAACAATGCTGAGAGGGGTCTGAGAGAGAGAGAGAGAACGAGAGAGAGAGCTACCCACAGACCAAATCAATCACGGAACCCAGGATCACCCTGTGGCCATGTGACGAACCACTGGCCCTAATTACAGGACACATTCTGCATGGATGTGCAAAAAGGAAACGTACAAGGAGTTTCCGCCTGTTCCCAGTTTGGGCTCATGTAGAGGGTTTGTCCACTATCTCACTGGGGAATGTAATACCTGCTTGCTCCATTCTAGTGCTTCTCCCTCCCCTGGGGCTAAGTGTCTGTAAGAGGATAGGGTGAGGATTACTCCATTAATATTTGTACAGACCTTTGAGTTCCTCAAATGTAATTGTGACCATGACTATGACTATTTTATTATTCTTACTATTCGTTTAATTGTTCTGTGGTCTTATGAAAGGGACAGTCTGCCGGAGATTTTCCTGTTTGTCATCCGAAATAGTATTTGTTTAGAGACATTTATTTTCCTTTTAATTTCTTCGCCAGTGTTCCTACATCCCCAAGTGTGGCAAGAACTACGAAGAGTCCATGTCACTTGTGAGTGTTGTAATGGAAAATTTCAGGAAGTACCAGCGCTTCTCATGCTTTTACGACCCAGAAGGCATTCAGAAGAATGTGATATTAACCAAACTTTACAGTTCCAACGTGCTGTTCCACTCACTTTTCTGGCCAACATGCATGATGATTGGGGGGGTTGCCATCGTTGCCATGGTAAAGCTGACTCAGTACCTCTCCCTCCTCTGTGAGAGAATCCAAAGGATCAACAGATAAAAGCAAAAACTTCTCTGAGATGTATTTCAGCTAAAATACTGTTTTTTCATTCTTCACCAAAGAACCTTAAGTTTGTAACGTGCAAGTCTGTTATAAGTTCCTTACTATATTCTTATAAGTAGAGCAATAATGCAAAAGCTGTTCTATATGCAAACATGATGTTATTATTATGCAGACAACAGGAAAAAAAATACTGTTTGTGTTGGTTGTCTAATCTGATCTCATTTTATGCTGGAACTAGTACTTCTTTCTTTTCTACAGCCAAAATAGGGCTCGGTGTGACCATTTGCCAAGCTTTGTCAATGAACACATCAACATTTCAGTGTAACATTCTGGGAGAAATTCACCCCTGTGCAGAGGGCTAGCAAAAGGCCTGGGCATCATTTATGTCCCATTTAATCCTCAGGGCATGCAACGGGTGGCTTTGGAGGGAATGAGGGGAACAAAAGTATAGAACCAATGTCTTTTTATGGTAAGAGGGTATAGAATGGATGCATATACGATTGACAGCTTAAGTGGGACTTGCATGTTACTTGTGCTGGCTCTCCCTGCAAAGGGGAAAATTTCACCCTTTGGTGTTTTAGGTCTTTTGTAAAACACCTTGGAGATGGATATTTGCAATATGTTTTCCTCACATCACATCATCTACAGAAGCTACAGCCAAAAACAAAGAAAATTCAACCAATTTCATTTTCTACTCCAAGCTGAGCCCTATTGCTGGAGATGGGACCAGACACCTTATGTAAAGGTTTATTACACATTTGTCTTGTATTTGCTACCATATCACTGTAAAGAAAAACAAAAACACAATCAGCTATTTTTTCATTTTTTACTTCCAACTATTTTAACTTTTTTTACTTGATTATATAGATATATAAAAAGAAAAAGCTATATTATATCTAATTGTGTATTGTAACTTGATTGTTATTTTTTTTTCCTTTTGACTAACTGGAAAGTGAGCAGTATAACTCCTGTATTTATCACATTCAAAGCCTGGAAAAGACCATAACATCAAGGAGCAGCAACGTGGGATCTTATCCAATATTCACACTGACATTTCAATCAGATGGAGGTCTCTCTTGCTGTGACATTTGGATTGAAAAAAATCTCCTCCACTTCGCTAGATCTATTAATTGAATTGTTATACAATAATCATAATATTTCTGGAAATTATTATTGTTATGCAGTGCTGGCTGAAGTGACTTGCATTCTAAAATGTCCAGGTGTAATATGAGGTATTGGAAAAATTGAGATTCAAACTAATATGTAGTCCTAGCTGTCATGTATGTTCCATGGGGGCTTTACCCATATAATTCCATGCACACTATGTGCACATCTTTGGCATAATTTATTTTCCATGTTGTTATACTCTACAGACAATCTCAACATTTTTTATCTTGCACCTAAGCTGAAGGACAAATTTGAGGCAGTCTCTCTGCTTACCCCATGAACTTACTATAGAATATTTATAGGAAATTATTTACAGGTACATTCAAAAAAAGGAGATTCCACCTTTTTTTTCTTTTTTGCCAAAAAGATAGCAGAAGGAAAAAATCCAGAGTCTTCTGTCTAGCTCATCCATATATAAGTACCTTCTTCCATGATGTAGTATTGAAAACTTTAAGGTGTTACAAGATTTTACAAATTGTACAAGTGTAGTCGGAGCTGTAAAAATAAGTTCACGGCAGTGGATTTAACCTGCAATCTTGTAATCCATGGTATGATTTTTCTTAGGCAAATAAATTCCTGGGGGTGGCGGGGTGTAATCAGGGCTCCAAAAATGTGTAATAAAAATATTAAATTAAATCTTCAGGATTTCAATACCTTTTCCATTCAGAACTGGTTTGTTTCAACAACCTTTTTTTAAAAAAAAAAAGATTATTTTGCCATAAAACCAGGATTGCCAACCATCTGTAACATGAGAAGGAGTTTGTAAAAGTTTCTTTGTAAAAGCTATCTATCTATCTACCCATTTTAGGGCTTTGTACAGCCCTTCACCATGGTATCTGAGCAACTTCCACATTATTTAGATTGACAGTGGAGAAGCCCCTAGTGGACTTCAAGAAGTTGCCGTTTAAATTCAAAAGAACTCACTACCCACATTATTTTGTCCATGGCCAGAAAATCTGATTGATGCCTTATTGTCTCCCGCTGGAGAGTTCCAACATAGAATAGATGGAGATAGACGTCTGTAGAGAAGAAGAATCCTAATGCTCCGGTGCAAAGGGATTAATCAAGATGAAGGGCAGCAGGGTGAACGTTTCTGCTGGTACATTGCCTGGCTTTTACTAAAGATACCCTAAGAGCAAAAAGGTATGATATGTGCCCCCCAAATGGAGGAGGAAAATCCTCAGTGTTACAATCAGAATTTTGTAAGCAGGAAAACCACAAGAAGAGCTATCGAGAGCTCCATTGCATCTGAATTACAGGAGCTGCCACAGGTAAGAGCCAGTTGTGCCCAACAATATCACAACAGATGGAAGAAGAGTGAACACAACTGCTAATCCAAGTAAGTGTAAGTGCATTAGTTGGAGGCAGAAGACTCTGCAGGACAAGCAGAGGTTCCTCCAGTTACAGAAGATGCTGAAGGAGAGCTGAGGCACTTGCTTGGCCCAGTCTGGTAGGAAGTCCTTGGCAGTTCATTTTCTAAGCAGGTTGGGAGGTAGAGTGGCCAAGGACTGAGCCCAAAGTTGGAAGTCAAGAAATCCCGAGCTCTGGTCCTGGTTCTCCCGCTGACCTGTGTGACCTTGAACAAGTCACTTCACCTCTCTGCTGCAGTTTCCTTATCAAATAAGGATAATATTTGCTGAACCTACCTTATGGGGATGGTGCAAGGATTCATTGACTAGTATTTGTGCAGTAGTTTAAATATATAAAGGACTACACAGTGTAAGAGCTAATGATTATTATTAAAGCATATCAGAAGAGGGTCCAAAAACAAAGGAGGTAGCCAGGCTAGGACCACCCCTGTGGCATTTAGCAAAGGCTTCCTGGCAGGTGTCTAAAATGCACCATGTCATGGGAGACTTGTATTGTCATTCATTTGAAAGTCGATGCTTGCTCCACAAGTAAAAGAGGCTGATTTGTGTTCAAATTTGCTATCTTAAATTGCCCCTTTTCTTATATAAAAGCCTCACTGTCTTCAGCAGCACTACATACACCAGAGGAAGAACTCAGCACTCTCCACTGAAATTGTTCCAAATCAAACATTCGGCCCAACGCTATCTAGCAAATAGCTATAATAACAGAGAGGATTCTTCAGGAAATTACTGACACAAACGCTGACCATTTACATGATGATTTACGTGGCCGGCAATAAAGTAGCTCTTGAGTTCCATGTGTGACATTTTAGGGGCAGTGATTGTGCCACTTTGTTTCTAGTGATAGGAAGCTGATTATGCTTGACATTTACACATCAAATGCACTTTTCAACATGTTGTGCCGTAAACATTTTACCAGCGTTCCTGTGGGTGAAACATCTTGACGCTGTTGCAGCCTATAATCATTTTGTTGACATTAACAGACAGATCTGTGGGATAGCAAAATAACTTGAGTAATTGGATGGAGTGAGGTAAAACAATAATTTAAAAGGAATTATCAGTCTGATCACTGGCACAGTTAGCCCCCTACTGAAGTATCAGCATTTCAAATACAGTTTAGGCAACTCCTGCTGCCCCGGAGAGATTAATTTCAGTCAGAATATTTGCCTGAGCTATTTCTTTCTCTACCTCATTTTTTCCTCATTTTACCCCCTCTTGCTCATTTCCCATGAACAGGAACTGAGATCACTGTGGGCAGATCAGTTGGAGCAGAACGTCCCCATTGACCTTCTACACAGCTTCATCAACATTATCTAGTGGGAAGAGGCGACAACTGGGATTCACAGGTTCTGTTCCTGGCTCTTCCACTGACCATGACCAAGTCAATTAATCCCTTTGTGCCCCAGTTTGACTGCCTCTGAGGCATGTGGTGAACATTTAATGCTCATAAGGCACCTGAGATCCTCTACTGGAAGGATGCTATTGCTATATAAAGACAAAGGGCCGGATTTACAAATGTATTTAGATGCTGTAAAATATAGGTAGGTGTCAATTGGAATTCACAAATATGTCTATGCTACAGAGTTAGGTCAATAGTGCTCCCTTAGCCCTACATAGACCTTACTCTTTGGATTTCTGCTTAAAAGGAGACTTATATTATTTAAGAATGTAAGAATGGCATACTGGGTCAGACCAAAGGTCCATCTAGCCCAGTATCCTGTCTTCCGACAGTGGCCAATTGCCAGGTGCCCCAGAGGGAATGAATAGAACAGGTAATCATCAAGTGATCCATCCCGTCACCCATTCCGAGCTTCTGGGAAACAGAGGCTAGGCACACCATCCTTGCCCGTCTCGGCTAATACTCATTGATGGACCTATCCTCCATGAATTTATCTAGTTTTTTTTTTAACCCTATTATAGTCTTGGCCTTCACAACAGCCTCTGGCAAGGAGTTCCGCAGCTTGACTGTGCGTTATGTGAAAAAAA